GCGGCGGCCCCGGTGGCCGAGCGCGGAGCCGTGACGCACTTCCGGCGGCGCGGCACGCGGGCCTCCCGGCGGCCCGGAGGGCGGGGCTCCGGCGCCTGGCCCCGCCCCGCCCGCTGGTGGCAGCCCCAGGCCCCGCCCCTCCCCGCCCCCAATGAGTCAGACCAGGCAGCGGGTGCACACAGTTTATTGGCCTGTCCTGCAGGGGCGCCCAGGCGGGCGGGGGGGTCACTGGCAGGTGTTGTAGATCTGCACCTGCAGGTTGATGTCCTGAAGCACGCTGCGCATCCGGGCCTCCAGCCCGTCCAGCTGAGCCGCTTTGCCCTCCAGCGCGCGCTCGTTCTCCTCGTAGGTGCCCTCCAGCTCTGAGAGAGGCAGGCCTCAGCCACAGCCCACGCCCAGCGCCCCCACCCGTCTGGGTGCCCACCCCGGTCCTCACCCTGCAGCCGCTGCAGCTTGTCCTGAGCCGCTTGCAACAAGCCGCGAGCCTCGTCCCGCAGCTGCTCTGCGCGCGTCTGCGCAGCCAGCACCCCCTGGGCCTTGCGCTCCGCCAGGGCCTTCACTGTCTGGTACTGGTCGCCCAGAGGGCCCTGCAGCAGCTGGGAGGGGGAGGGAGGGGAGGGTGGTGGCCCAGTGGAGACCCAGCCTCTACCCTCCCCCCCTGCGGGCTCTGCCTCCGCCCACCTGCTCAGCCTCCCTGGCACGACCCTGGGCGCTGCTTGCTGTTTCTTCAGCCCTGGAGGCTGCCAGGCTGTTCCCTGCTCGTTTCAGTTTCAGAGCCTCCAGGAGGCCATTCAGCTGCTGAGCCCGTTGCCCTGCAGAGCTCAGCGCCTGCTCTGCCCCCGCCATCCTCTCCTGCACCTGCCGTGGGAGGCTAGGGTTAGCCAGGTCTCAGAGCGTGTCCACCACCTTGGCCCTCGATGTCCCAGAGACCACACCTGGTGCAGGGTCTGCTCCGTGTCCTGCGTATCAACCACTGCCCCCTGGATCGCCCCCTGAGCAGCACCCTGAGCCCGCTGGGCCTCCTCCAGTGCTGCCTGCACTGTCTCTGCCTTCTGCTTCTCCCCTTCAGCCCGGCTCCTGCGGAAGAGAGGGCATCAGGGCCTGCAAGGATCAGGACCAGGTGCCAAGGATGGGGGCAAGGTCGGGGTCAGACCGTGCCCGCTGTGCATCCTGCAGCAGTCGCTCTGCCCGATGCACGTCTCCCACAGTGCGCTCCAGGATGGCGTCCACGTCGGCCAGGCTCCGGACCCGCTCCGCGATCTCGCTGGCCAGCTGCTGGATCTGCTCGGGGGACGCCGGGATGGAGAGCTCCAGCACGCGCGTGGCCACCATCTCGATGCTGTCAGGGTCGGCCCCCTCCTCTGCGGGACAGTCAGGACTCAGGGACCCCTCCCAGCATGGGTATGGGACACAGAGTCGGGACAGGGACACGGAACTGCACGAGGGCTATGGGTTTGCTAACGGGCATAAGGATGTGACCACAAGGACAGGGGCTAGATGTGGGCATAGACTCGGGGTCATGGACTTGAGAGCCACAAAGGGCGAGGATCCTGAACACAGGTCCGGAGCACAGGTAGGAACACAGACACGGGGACGACCACGGGGCCTGGCTGCGCGGGAGGCTCACGGCTCAGGAAGTCCTTCACGCTCTGGATGAGCTCCCGCAGCTCCTGGTTGGCCTGCTCCACCTGCCCCCTGGACGCGTTGGCCTTGTCCAGGGCCGCCTGGGCCCGCTGCTGGGCCTCGCCCGCCTGCCGACGGGTGTCTGCCACCTGGCCGAGGATGCCACCACCTTCCGCCAGTGCCCGCTGCAGCTCCGTCTGCGTGTGCCGGGCCCGGCCCAGCGCCAGGTCCGCCATGGCCACGGCGCCGCTGCAGCTGAGGCCCCCGCAGCGGGGCTGCCCATCCTCGTCCCGACAGCCGGCCCCACCACAGGGGCCCGTGGCACAGGGAGCATCGCCGGGAGCCCCGCACACCTGCCAGCACAGGACAGTCAGGCCCGCGGGAGCCCACCCCCACCCCGCCTCCCCCTCCCACTGGGCCTCACCAGCTCGTTGATGCCTGTGAGGCTCAGGCCGTGGGCGCGGGCAGAGAGCGCCCCCAGGGCCTGCTGGTTGGCCATGTGCTTGCGGTGGAAGTCCTCCCTCTGGGTCTCCATCAGCACCTCCGTCCGGCTCCGCGTGCCTGCAGAGTGGCTCACAGGGCTGGGCACTGCCAGGGCCGATGCGTTGGCACGACGTCCTGCCTCTGCAGACAGGCTGTGGGCACGGCGGATGCTATCATAGGCACCTACGTGGGGCAGAGGCAGGAGTTAGCTGAGGACCAGCCCTGGCCCCGCACCACTGGCCGACAACGCACCCAGGAAGTTGGAGTGCTTCAGCAGGTCCAGGTGCTGGGCGAGCTGCCGCAGCGTGAGGTTGAGAGCCAGGCTGTCCCGCTCCAGGCTGCTCAGTGCGTGGTTGGCATTGAAGTTCTCGTCCTGCACATCCGTCAGCTGCGCCTCCAGCTGGGTCAGGTGCTCGGTGGCCTCCCCGATCTGACGCCTGTGCCAGAGTGAAGGAGGGGGTGGTAGAGGCTTCAGCCGGTCCCCTGGCCGCTGCCCTCCCCCCCCACGTGCCCGGGCCCAGCCGCACCGCAGCTCCTCCGTGGCCTCCAGGAGCCGTGCGGTGGCGGCGGCCGAGGCGTTGCGGGCGAGCACAATGGCCTGCACGGCGCCCAGCTTCTCCTGGACGCGCCGGAAGCTGCCCTCAAAGGCGCCCAGCACGCCCGTCTGCTGCAGCTCCTTCGCCCTCTGCTCCAGGCGCCGGGTGCGGGCGGCCAGGTCCTGCACCACACGGTCCCAGTCCCCGAAGCACGCGTGGCAGGGGTGGCAGGCAGGGAAGACCCCCGAGAAGCCCCGGGCACACTGGTCACAGCGCACGCCGGACACCCCCGGGCGGCAGCTGCAGTGGCCGGTGGAGCGATGGCACTGCGGCGTGTCTATGCCACGGGGGTCGCAGTCGCAGGCTGAGGAGAGGGCGGGCCAGGGTTACCCGGTGCCGGCGGGCACCCCGGGAGACCCCCCCCCCCAGACCCGAGGCCCCTCACCGCGGCACTGCAGCCCAGGGTCTCCCCAGTGAAGCTCCTGGCACTCAGAACAGGTGCGCCCACCGAAGCCGGCGCGGCAGTGGCACTGCCCAGTGAACTGGAGTCGGGGAGGGCAGAGGTCAGGGCCCGGCCTGAGCCCTGGACCCGAGGCGATGCTGGTCCCACCCACCAGGTCCAGGGAGGCCCGCACCTCATTGCAGGTGGGGCCGGTGGCTCGACTGGGGTGGCAGGCACAGGGCTGGCAGCCTCGGCCACTGGTGAGATTCCAGAAGTTGGGGGCACAGCGGTCACAGCTCGCGCCCTGGACGTTGGGGAGGCAAGGGCACTGCCCACTGCTTGGGTCACAGGTGCACTGGTCCGTGGACGGGCACTGCCGGGGGTCTGTGCCCAGCGGGTTGCAGATGCAGCCTGTGCCAGCCAAGACGGACAGCAGTCAGGGAGCCTGAGTCGTGGGACCCACCCGGCCACCCCCTCCCATCCCCACTCACGGCGACAGCTCTGCCGGGCAGCCTGCCCGTGGAAGCCAGGCTTGCAGTGGGCACAGCGTGGGCCCTCCGTGTGGTGTAGGCAGCGCAGGCAGTGCCCCGTGTGGGGGTCACAGGCATCGGGGTCCGAGGGGTCAATGTTCCCGCTGCACTCACAAGGCTGGCACCTGCCGCCTGGCCGGGCTGGGTCCCCAAAGTGCCCGGGGGCACACGTGTCGCACCGCAGCCCTGCCACAGCGAGGGGAGGCGTGAATGCCCTGCCCAGCGGCCTCCGGCCCGCGCCCCACCGCACACTCACCCGTGTAGCCCGCCCTGCAGTGGCACATGATCTGCTGGGAGTGCCCATCCCGGTGGCACGAAGTCGCAAAGTGTCGCTGGCTCCCGGGGGCATCAGGGCAGGGGCAGGGCCGGCACTGGCCGCCGTGTGGCAGCCGCGGGTCCCCGTGGAAGCCGGCCAGGCACCTGCGTGGAGGGCGGGAGGAGCTGGTGGTCCCTGCGCAGCCTGCCGCCCCCCCCCCAGCCGCCCCCTCGCTCACTTGTCGCAGTGCTCGCCGCCCGTGTGGTCCCGGCAGCCCAGGCACGCGCCTGTGTGGGTGTCGCACTCGTCCGCGTGCCCGTTGCACACGCACGGTCGGCAGCTGGGGAAGCCCCACTGGCCGCGCTGGCAGCGGTCGCAGTGCAGTCCGAAGGCCCCGGCTCGGCAGGGGCACTGCCCGCTGGCGCCTTCGCACAGGCCGCTGAGCGAGCCCTCGGGGCTGCACTGGCAGGCTGCGGGAAGGCAGGGTGGGGGTGTGGCGGGGCGGGGGGAGGTCAGGGGATGCGGAGGACTTGGGGGGCCAGGGCTGAGAGCTGGGGGGCTTCGGGGGGGGCAGGGCTGAGAGCTGGGGGAGAACTTGGGGGGGCAGGGCTGAGAGCTGGGGGAGAACTTGGGGGGGGCAGGGCTGAGAGCTGGGGGGGCTTCAGGGAGGGCAGGGCTGAGAGCTGGGGGGGCTTCGGGGGGGCAGGGCTGAGAGCTGGGGGAGAACTTGGGGGGGCAGGGCTGAGAGCTGGGGGGGCTTCGGGGGGGCAGGGCTGAGAGCTGGGGGAGAACTTGGGGGGCAGGGCTGAGAGCTGGGGGGGCTTCGGGGGGGGCAGGGCTGAGAGCTGGGGCCGGTGCAGAGGGGAGGAAGGGGAAGGAGAGCCAGCGACGGGCTGGACTGCAGGTCGGGACAGGCAGGAGGTACCTTGGCAGCCGGCGGGGCCAAAGCCGTAGTAGCCAGGGGCACAGCGGTCGCAGCGGCGGCCCACCACGGCCGGCTTGCACCGGCACTGGCCCCCGTGGGGGTTGCACTCAGAACTCAGCGAGCCCTGGGGGTCGCACTGGCAGGCTGTGGGGAGGTGCAGGGCCGAGTCAGAGGGCCCACCTGTGCCGGCGCCCCCCCCACACAC